GTTTGATCATCTGTCAGATTCAGTACATCTCCTTTCTTACAGTGTCTGTCACTGGCGTTCTGTCCCATGACTGACAGTGTAAACCTAGTGCCCACTTCCCTTCTTCCCATCTGCATCCCTACTGACAGATAAGACCATTTTGCTAACTTGATTGTGACATGTACATTAAAAATCCAGAATTAAATTCCCTTTTAGATATATTTTGTGTTAAGATCTTGAATCTTAGTCTTCCAATTATATATTCTAATTTATATAATTGCATAACAATGAAAAATAATTTGTCTCTAGATAATGTAGCTATTTTTTTAAAAAAAAGCATAGTGCTTTCAGACAATAGCAATAAATTCATAAAAGCAGCCAAATTTCTTTATAAAGACAATTCCTCTCAATTGCACTGGTGCCTACTGGATGCATCGTAACTTTAAAAATTTTTGTAATTCTTTTCAAAATTCTGTACAACTCCTTTCTTCACATACATTCTGTTTGATGTCACATATGTTCATTAAATGTCTCCAAATTACACACCATTAAAGCTGAGAATACATATTTCTTTATGCTATTATTTATTCATATTATTTACAAAAGCACACACAGGAGTGTCTTCTCTTAAATCAGAAACATTGTTTCCTCATGTATATCACCACTATATTTTCTTGTCTTCATGTTATAGAAACTATAAAAACAATTAAGCCAAGGGAAATTTCTTCCTTTCTTTTACACATGGAAAGCACTATAATATGTAACTTCCTCACTGTGTTTCACTCAAACATGTATAAAATCATATAACTTCAATTTAAATGTAAATCCATCATAAAATTGGAATGTAAAAGCCAAATCTTGAAAACATAATCCATCTTCTAAATACTAGCTTGATAAAATAAGCAAAGTAAGCTTGAAATAGGGTTAAATATAATCTAATTCATGGTTACACCTCAGGAATTATAAGTCTTACAAAGTCACTCCAGGAACTGAGGAAAAACCCAGGAGTGGGTGCAGTACCCACACCCATGCAGGTCAGGAATTACCACCTCCAAATGCAGCCCACTTGCCTGAATCATACAGAATAAAAGTTTCCATACAGCAACAGAGTACTCCCTCTGTTCTTTGTTCACGTGAGGTTCTGACATACCACACTACCTAACGCTTATAATGGAAATGGTGGTAGCACTACACAGATTATCTAACATGCAATTAATTTAAAGTACCAGCTCCTATGTTGAACAAATTGAAAGGATCAAAAAAAATGCCTAAACATCCATCAGAAAAAAGGCCAGCAGGCAGGATCAGTGCTTAGCAAGCTTTGTACAGGTGCATCAAGCTCTTGACTGCCTTGTGAGACCTGAGCAGGAGAGGGGAAGATCTGCAGATGCTGTCAGCACAGTCTCTCCACAGCCTGTCCCACTGCAAGGAAGAAACGGTCGGTGAGCCCTGTGGCTACAGTGCCCTGGAAACATAGACAGCAGTGGAAGACAGAAATTTCACTTTCAGAAATATAAAATATGTTTACAGAGTGCTATGGCAGGCAGATTCAAGCCTGATCTGCTGGCATTTCAAATCACCCAAGCATGTCCTCACTTTAGTCTGAACACCATTCAGACTAGAGCCACACAGCACTGACCACAGGCTTGCTTGGCCTGACCATGAATTTATATATCTTTGTGTTTTATACCTTTACGGTGTCTTTAAGGTTTATATTTTATTGCAAATTAATAAAAGCAGCCAAAAAAAATCCCCACATACCTCACAGATTTAAGAAATACAAGCACTTCAATCTAAGTTTCAGTACATGTAATTCTGGTTATTTACCATCATTCTAACTTTGACATGTGAAAGTCTTGAGTTGTTTTTTAACAACCATCTCAGCAGACCTTTTAAACTTGAATATGTATACCCTGGAAGTATAAGCATTTATTAACAGTTATCTTCCTCAACTGATTGCAAACATTTGATGACACACTTATGGTTGTGACAGAAAAGAGATGAAGATGCCCACTGCTGTGCTTACGCTTTCTGAATGAGAGACAACAAGATGCATTTCAGAGGTAATTTCTGGTCGCTTAAAAAACAAATACTGCATTCAACTGAATTTGGCTTCTAAGGTATGGAAATACTGTTCTACATGTTGATATCTTTAACGCGGTATAGCAGGATTACAGAATGTAAACTATATGTCTTTATTCAGTGTTGGAAATTAAAAACAATAGATGTGGCTGGCCTGCATCTGTGGGACTGCAATGATATTTTAAATCTAGAACACAAATCTTACACAGAGATAAACAAACCCACTTGATTTCCCAGAGCTACATGCTCTGTTCTACTTCCAGAGTTCTGTTTCAATCAGAAAAGATAAACTACAACAATTATTAGTTCATTTAATTATGGTAAAGGTTACCACATTTTAGAGCATCCAGATTTTAAAAGACTAGAAATGCCCAATTTATTTTTTTCAAAAAGAAAATGAAACTGATAAAATCTTGGAATGACTTTTAGGACATTTTGAAAATCTCAGGTATGGTAAGTATAACTGCCTCAGAGAAACTATTGTCTTCTTTAAAACATTTCTCAATGGACAAAACCCATGAACACCACAAACTTGTCAAAGCTTTACTCGTCAGATGCAAGCACTCAGAAATACACTCAACAAAACAATTCTGTAACACAAAATGAAAATGTAGAAATATTCACCTAATCAGTTACTGGAAACCTCTCTCAGCCATTTTTGGCATGTTAACCAAACCTGCCAAGTTATAATCACCTTGCTAGACCTGTTCCTTTACACCACCAAATTGTGGAAGCAGTGATGTAGAGCAGTAAACTAATTCTAACCATCCTTCATCATGCCATGAACATTAGAGCAGAGCTGTAGGAAAGTGGAAGCTCTCCTTCTGGCTCCAGTTAGCACTAGTTATAAACCAGGTCAGGAGAGGAAAGTTTCCCCCACAGAGTAATGTACAGCCAGTTTAAATCAATCCCAAATTAAGCCATATACAAGTTTTTAGATAAAGCCTATGCAACTTCACTGGAAAAGACAGATCAGTTATCCCGAGTAATTTCAGATGTGTGGGAAAGAGTTTTTCTAGACATCATTTTGACCCAGGAATCTAGAAGGAAATACACAAAGAAACCCTCAACAGCTATCAACCTAATAATGAAGGGCTAGACAATCTTGTGCGATGTATGGCACAAGGTCAGATATAGCTGAACAGACTCAAGGGCATCTCTGGGGAGGAACTGATAATACAGCATTGCAGAAACTTCCCTCCTTTCCTTTTCTGCCCAAGACAGAGGAAATCAATAGAAGAATTTCAACTAAAGAGCCTCTGACTACATTTGCCTGGTCAATGGGATGGAGGAGGGAGCAGTGGTAATTTATCATCTCTCACAGTCATGTTTGCCATGAGATGGCAGATGGAGAAGATAACAGATAGGCAAAAGTATTGTGTGTATTGTCAGTTCTTTCCCCTAACTCATACAAACACCTGCAAGCTATGCAGGGCAGGGAAACCTGCACTTTATGCAGGATTAGGCAGTCTGGCCATGCCAAGGGCTTGGTACCCTGCAGCTGGCCATCTCCCCCTGCAGCCAAGACAGACATTTGCTAATTTACTGCAGTTGTTCAATCATATTACCCATGCTGAGGGTAAGGCAGTTGTTCCCCTGAAATCCCACTAAGATTATCACATTGCATTTAACCACTTCCAAGGAACAGACAGTGAGAGTGAGTGACTGAGAGAGAGAAAGCAAGGGAGGGAAGGGGAGCAAGACAGCAAGGAGGTGTTGCGGAGAGAAAGAGAAAGCAAAAAAGGGAGAGAGCAAATGAGCTGCCTTCAGACTCAATCCACTGAAGCTTCAGAAGTATGAAACACACGTGGACAGTCGCTAAGGAAATACCTACAGTGAAGCTTAGGATCTCTGCAATCTGATGCACGAACAGTTCCTCTTGTAATACGCCATTGGCATTGCTTACCCCTTCAGAGAAAAACAGCTCGTCACTTTGCGAACTATGGAATAACCAACTGTGCAAAAATCTTTTAAACGGAGGCATAGCTGATCTTAAAAATTTTGTAGCACTTTGAAGATATCACACTGACACAGGTTTTGAGATCAGTGTTTTATAAGGATTATAAAGAAGTGACTGTCTTAAAAAGGGGTCCTTTCCACTCTACAGTTTTCCTCTGATCAACTGCTCCATTTAATTACCACTGCACTATGCATCTAGAGCTCTGTCTTCCTTCTCTTTGGAGTGGAAAAATAACGGGACAGCATGCATTCACAATGATACACAGGGGAGGTTCTGACTGGATATAAGGAAACAGTTTTCACTAGGACAATAATTAGGAACTGGAATAGGCTGCACATTGAGGAATGTCTGTTCACAGGCATTTTTAAGACCTGATAGGAGCCAGCCCTGAGCAACCTGCTGTGAACTTAGTGTTGACCATTCTATGAGCAGCACACTGGGCTAGACATCCCCCTTCCAACATGAGTGATTCAATGGCTCTATAGTCTACTGTCAGATGAAAGGTATAAAGTTTCCCAAAAGCACCACAGAGAACCCAGAGAAGTTTTGCAGAAAGTTTTCAAAATTAGATATGTTAGAAATAGTATCAGGAATTTTGTTCCAAGTACTTGGTGGCTCTACTTATGCACAGTGCAATTAAATCAATGGTATGACCGAAAACCTTTTAGTAAAAGCACATTTATAATAAAATTTATGAAGTACATGCAATAAAAGTTAGCAAAAGACAAAAGACTTTTTGGAATATTTGTTGTAAGTAAGTGATGGCTTTCCACTGAGTTCCTTTTATAGATATCAGTAACAGCATAATAATTTACAGGCAACTTTACACGCGTTTCTTCCTGACAGGTATTTCCAATTAACACTGTGTCCCTTCTAAAAGTACACATATTCATTAAAGCAGAAAAACCCCCACCCAGCCTGAGGAAGCAGATGCACACACCAATGCAGAAAGCACTTTGCAGGTGCAACACATCCTCACCTTGAGATTGGGTTTTGACAGGAGTTTCAACAGTTCTCTGATCTCACTGCTCAGTGGCTTGCTCTGCAGCTCCTCAGCCAGCTGGATGGGAGATGGAATCGACACACAGACCATTAGCAAAGCACTGTTTTACCCAGTGCATCAGTGACAACCCAGAATCTATCTTGTTCAAGGTTATTACTTTCCAGTGTGTTCAAACAAGCCAGCATGAAGAAAAAACACCATTAATCACCGTGCTTCTTTTTCTGGCCCTCAGTGGACCAGATTTAAGCCAGGCCTTTTGGCTCAGTTTAACACAAGTAATCATTTCTGGCAAAAGTGCAGCCAGATCACATTCTGATTTATAGCGATGGGGGCAAATCCCAGCACTTCATTTAAGTGAATGGTCCTTTGCGTGCAGACAAAGGACTGCTTGTAAAAATGACTGGATCAAACTTTGACACTGTCTATAAAAAACAGTTTTGAATGAGGTGGTGAAATCCACACTGCTTCCAAAAACCCACAGTAGCTGTGCTGTTTAGGACTGGGATAAGAAAGCAAAGTGCCCCTACAGTGCAAGCAATCTGAACCTTTTATTATGTTTACACATACACTGGAAGGAGCTTGTTAAATGTGAAGCGGGTTAATCATAATATAGTTTATAACAGGTCATCAGCAATTCAAGCCCCTAAAATGCACAAACTATGTTCTAACAACAGGATCAGTAATTTATGTTTGGTTATACTACAAAATTGTGGTTTGGTGAACAATAGAGCAGCAGTCTAACATTTAATCCCATAGCTATTTGGCTCATGTCTTGAGTTTTTCTTATCATGACATTCTCAACTAATTTGGACTCCAGAGGCATATTTTACTGCAGGATTTCAGAGTTGAACTATTTTTCCAGAAGGAGAAAAAGCTAAAACATATTCCACAACACTAAACTTTAGTTTAAAATTCTGAAGCTACATGGCTCATAATCCAAAACGTGATTTCAGATAATCACTTATTTTCTTTGCATTAAATCAATATCATAAAAATGTCTCAAAGAAATATTGGTTATTTGCAGCAAGTAATTTCATTCATCTAGCTCAATTTTAAATTTGTACTTTCATTTTGTATAAATTTTCAAGATAAATGGATACATTTTGCATAGTTATATGTAACAGATAATTGTAGAAGCAATTACAGACATCAGACATAGTTTGAATACTCTTGTAACCTTCAAATTAATAACAGGAGTAACAGGACTGAAACAAAAATTCATCACCTATAGTGCCACAGCCCTTTAACTATAATTCATAGATAAAAATGTCCATCAAATACATCAATGCTAATCTTAACAATATTTGTGTCTTAATACTGAAAGACTAGAAAACGATCTCTGTAGAAAAGTTAAAAGAATTAAATATTTTAGGCACGTAAAGCCAAGTGTGGAGGTAATCTGCAATCTAGGCTGCATGTTCTATGGAAAAGCTCTGCAAAATTGAAAATAATCTGTGATGGGAATGACAGCAAGTATATGACACAGGTTCCCCTTAGTTCTCTGTTCATTCTTTAGCTTGTACTACTCATCACCAGAGAATAAAATCTATTCATTCACGCTTCATTGATGAAGACTAGATATCACTCAGTAAGAATGACTGCTTCAGCATTTCTCTCTTAGATGAATTGTGCACAACCATCTATTAGCTTCAGCAGAACTGGCATCTGGTGGTGCAAATATAAATGCATGTATAGAAGGTTTAGATCAGTGAGAAACAGCAACAATACTTTGTTACTGTTTTAAAACATGTTTTAATCTCACAATTTACAAAATATTTGTTCAGAGATGAAACAAATAAAAATTTGTTTTCATTCATATAATTTACAAGGTTTTCCCAAATATTTCCACAGAAGTCTTAAAGGTACATGTAACACCCCATGACAGAAGAGGAGGAGGAAGACAAAGATTGATAGAGAAGGAGCAAGACAAAGCCATGTTTTCAGGCTAACAACCAGCTATCACCAGAGCTGCTTGTTGTGCTTCTAGGGGTTTTGGACTAGATTTTTATTTGTTGTTGATTCTGAAGTGCCAAGATTTGTGACAGCTACCTGCAGCAGTACAAACTATATTGAATACTGTGAGCACACTGATACCGTGCCGATCACCTCCTGTGCTGAAGACTGCAAGAAAAACTGTCTGAGAACCTCTTCTATGGTTCTCTTTTGAGGGAACCATAACATTCCATTAACTTCTTTATGAAGAGCTGCCACTGTGGAGAGGGGAAGACAAAGCAAGGGAGAGGGACAGATGCAGAGTAAAGCTGGCAAGATGAGGAGCACCAGGGTCTGGGGGTTTGAGGCTTCTGGAGAAATTTCTGAAACTTGTCTTTGCCAGAACAGCCTTTCTGATAGCCTAGAGGCCTTATTTACCATATATACACCTATACTGCCTGCAATGTTTAGAACATCTGCGTGAAATCAAAAGTCCTACATCAGACACTTCTACTCCAAAATAAGAGGCAAACAGAATCTCTAATGGAAAATTCAGCCTAAAAGTCACTGGGAGTGGGGAGAAAGAAGGTATAGCAGCTAGGAGTTTGAAAATGTTTAGAAAAGAAGCCTTACCACAATTGTAACCTCTAAATTTTTTAAAAAGTAGAACAAGAATAAAAACACACTCCTTAAACAGTTTTTAGTTAAGTTAGCAGCTCCACAAACTTGGGTTTTAAATCAAACAGGAAATATTCACTTGCTTATAAGAGTATATCTTCCTTTGTTTAACTACAGAACAGTTACTATCACTAGGAAGACAAAACATTAATTTAAAACCTACGGAAATAGAACTGTGTTTTATATCACCAACATGCTCTTAAATCCCTGAAGCTGACAACTAGTCAGCCAAATGTGCCAAAAACTGAATAGCACTTTAATCCTGGAACCTCATGGGTTTTGAAGTTACAAAACCCACTGCGTATAAATTAGCTTCCTCCAAGTTTGCTGATAACTACTGAAACACTGAAAATCCTAGTGTGCTACACTGACTTCAGATGCCAAAGGACATCCTCATTCTATGGGACAGTGCCCATAAAACCATCTGTTCAGCTACACATAAGCAAAAATGAGGAACCAACAAGAGGATCTTTAAAAAGAAGCTGTGCTTAAAAAGTAGGCAGATGTCTATAGACACTTATGTTCCAACATATGTACATTTTAAAAATACTACCATATATACATAATAATACATTCACAGGGTTAAAAACCCTGACTGCTCTTAACTGAGGAGTGACAGAGTACTTTAGTTTGGGAATTTCCAAAAGTGTATGTTTTAATGGGGCTGAACAAAGAATGAAATTGCTCAGCATTTCTCAAAATATCAAGAACTAAGTTTTGCATCCAAAAATAAGAAATTATTCTTATTAAGAATTTTAGCCCAGAGATCCATAACACAAATGTTAACAAGGATTATTAATATGTCACCAAGAACTTAATGAAGAGAATTTCAACCAGCTTTCTAATTTTCAAAATTACTATCAACATTATTCAAAGCTACTTGAAGGTTAAAAAAATATTACTAATATATGCCTGATGTCAAAGCTAATGCATTATTATATTTGGTGTGTTATGGGGTATAGCTCTCCTTCTACTGAAACGTGATTAAATTACATTATGTCCTTTTTTCAATAGACTTCAAATGTATTTAATTTAGTTTTTTGTTAAAAGTGTTACCATTCTCAATTCACACCATCTAAGCATCTGTAAAATTTAAAAATCAGAAGCTATTAATTATATAAAAAGATAGTTAAGATTTTAAAACATCTATAAAGTATGTGAAGTTTCAAACCTGCCGTATTTGAAACAGATCCTAATACATACAGCCTTTTCCAAAAAACAACCTGAGACCATCAATTGCAATGAAGATTTCTGGATTTCACCTAAACCACAGTTTATTAAACATTTCTCTATCCTGGCCTACCTCAGGTTCAGTCATAGTTTATACAGGTGTGTGCACAATTCATCTGAATCCTAGAATTAACCAAATAGCAAGAAATGGCAGGTTGGATTTTTTTCTTTAAAATAAAAATTATAGTAACAGGAAATTAACTACTCCATCAATGCCGACCACTTTTACAATTTATTTTTTGGTTATGAAGGTAATTGGAAAGCTCCAATATCAATAAATCACTACTGTACTTTTTCTTAAATAGTTTTTGATTTTTCTTTTAACAAGCCCCCTTCCTAGGCATTTCATATGCTTCATTTCTGTAGTATTATCTGTCATTTTTCATGTTCTGTCAGCAGTGCTGCTATCTCATTTGTCTTTATTTTTCCAAAGCATTCCTCTTGTCTGTGACTTTCTCAAAACACTAATAGTTGACAGCTTTTCCCCTCCCAGTAGAGTTTCAACCTGTAATTTCTATTACGTAGTTACTAAAGCAGAACAAGAGGCTATCTAGATGCAATGTTTTTATAACAGGCAAGTGAATAAAAATCAAAGTAATATCAGCAACAAGCCCGGTGATGACAGCACCTTTGGAAACATTTGCAGCTTCTTATGATTTCAGCTCAGAGGATTACATTCATATGTTTACACTATGAGAAGTTCTGCTTGCAGACAGTTTTCTGGGAGAGTTGGTACCAGTGATCTCAGCAGGGGACACTTACATCATCTGCCAAGGCTGCTGCACCATGGAGTATGGGCACCGGGTTCTGTTTTTCATAATAATGCAGTTTTTCATGAATCTGGAAGACAATAGCACAAAGCGATAAGCTTATTTAGCAGCATGAGAAATGGTATGAAATTACTCTGTTGAGCTAACTGATCTGTTGAGTGTCTGTAACTAAAGAAACATCCTTACAGTAACCTACAGGCAGCGATCATGTATATGTAATTCATCATCATCCTCTGTTGAAGTGCTAAGAATATGAAATCAGATGGAAAAAATGCTCAGTATGTAGACCAACCCACAGAAAAACTAAACATTTTTGATTTTTCTCTCCCGGCTTTCTCTGTCCATATTTCCAACATATTGCTTTAAGTATCAATTACATTTTATATTGCTGCTGAAAACACAAAGCATAAAGTGTTTATCCCCAAGATGGATATAAAAACTCCTGTAAATTATGATTTATGAAGTGAAATAATAGCCTGCCACCCACATCTTGACAGACAGCTTGGTGGAGCGGCTGCCATCATTAAAATAAATCAGAAACAAGGGCAAAGTAGTGCTAATATGGATTCTAACACATCTGAAAGAAAAAGGCAGTCCTTCGGCAAGTTAAAGTCGTTTAGGAGCATTTAAAGTTTTTAATGAGGAGTTATCAACATTAAAAATGCAGTGTGCTTTGGTTCTTTCAAAAGGGGAAAGGATACACTATCATTTAAATATCCAGCCTCTTCCCTCCTCCGCAAGTTATGCATTCCAAAATTTAGATTTTTCCAATGCGAAAGCTTTAAAACAGCCAAAATATTTTAAAGCTTCTAGCAAGTTTCTTAAAAGTTATTTCAGAATGCCACAGAAAACTATACTAAACATTTAATTTTATTTATATTATTTTCCCAAAGATACACAGCTGTACAAATATTAATTAAAATTTTACAAAAATAAGACAACAGTAGTGTGAACTGAGGCAAACACTGCCCATTCTTAGATTCCTACTTTAGTTCCACTGCTCTTAAGGAGACATGGACTCCAGATGGTTGGAGGAGTTGCAGGAGATAAATTGGGGACTTCTGTGCTTGTCAAGGAGGGCACGAGGCCTGGCAGAGGCCACAGGGCACAGAACTTGGCTGGGGGAGCCCCTCTCATCCTTGGGATACAGAACCCCAATGATATCCTATCCCTCCCCAGTGCACTGCTGGGGAGGAATGGGACAGACGCCAGGCAGCAAGGACAGATTTAAAGAGTAACCAAACCAGTGGTCTTTGCACACTGAAAACGTATGGAGTTGACTGGATCATATCTGCTTTGGACTGATTGTTCCCTCCAGCTTTCTCCCTTCTTCCACATCTGTTCTTCTCCACTTACTTTTATTTCCAGAAGGACTTACTACCCTCACTGCCCAGGACTCCCTCAGCCTTCTCCCCAGCCCCTTCTTCTGAATTTGAACTGAACTCCTAACAGATACACCCATAACAAGATAATGCCATGTCAATGACACTTGTGCTTTACCGTTTTTCCCAATCTTCTGCTGTGCTCCATAACACTTTATAAGCCCATGACCATTTTTACTCATTTAGACTATAGGTTCTTTGAAGTAAAGGTCATACAATACTTTGTTAATGAAATGTAGCATAGAAAAATCTAAGTCTTGCTCGATTTCTTCAGCATTTCTATAAACTTAGTAAGATTGTTTCTGTGTTGTTAGTTAATGGATACTGAAGTTCTGAAACATCAAGGTGAAGCATGGAGACATCAGGGTTGCTTAATTGCTACGTTGTAAAATTATTTGTTCTGAAGAGCAAGTATTTGTACCTCAGCTGGAAACTGAATGCAAAGCACTATTCTCTCCAGAACAAGCATCTGAATTTTACATAGCTTATATACATATTGTTTACTCAACAAAGTAAGACTAATCCATATTGGATGTCACCAAAGCGTGACTGGACAACTTCATGTTTCCAGCTCACAAAGCACAGAAGCTAAACAAAACAAGGAGCTGCAGTTTCCCAAGTTCAGCAGAAATTTGCGATTTATTTAGATTGTGAATTTGAATAACTAAAAGACATAGTAAATCAAAAAGTCTCAAATACATAATTTTTTTGATTGCTTTGGCCAACATCTTGATTTTATCCAGGCTGAGCTTCCATCAGTTCTGAGGTTAAAAGCAGTTACCTATGCTACCTTCTACTTTCTCAAATCAAATAGAAGTGCCACTGCCGATGAAGCTGTTTTTACCCTGGACATCCTGCAGGTGTCTTTACAAGAAGAAAAAGAAAACAAGAAAATTACTAGACACATTCTTGTATAACCCATCTTTGAAAAAAGTTATAAAATTGTAAATTCATGCAGCAAAAAACAAGGCTTTAAGAAGAGGTACTGTGTAACTTTAACAAGTGTGCTGGGTTTGTGTGTGTGTGTTGGGGTTTTTGGTAGCAGGGCTACAGCGGTGGGCTCTGTGAGAAGCTGCTTGAAGCTCCCCAGGCTCCAAGTCTGACCCACCTATGAACCAATGCCAAGCCAATTAGCGACAGTGGTTGCACCTCTGCGATAACATATTTAAGAAGGGGAACCTGGGAAGAAGAGTGGGAATTGTGAGAATAACATCTGTGAGAACACCAAAGTCAGCGGAAGAAAGAGGGGGGGGGGTAGGTGCGCCGGAGCAGAGACCCCCCCGTATCCCCTGGTGAGACAGCAGGGCCACCCCCCCTGCCACCCATGGAGGTCCACAGTGGAGCAGATGCCAACCTGCAGCCCATGGAGGAGCCCACACCAGAGCAGGCAGCTGCAACCAAAGGAGGCCAGGACTCTGTGGGAAGAAGCCATCACCACTGCAGTAGTCTGGCAGTGGGAAGACTGCAACACATTGGGGTGACCCACGCGTGAGCAGCATGGGGAGAGCTGCAGCCCATGTGAGGGACTCATGTTGGAGAACATTTGTGGAGGACTGTCTCCTGTGAGAGGGGAAGCAGGCTGGTGCAGGGGAAGAATGCAAGGAATTCCCCCCATCCTGAGGAAGAAAGCGCATGAGGACTAACCATAAGTCCCATTCCCTCTCCACTGTAGGGGAGGAGGTAGAGAGATCAGGAGCAGAGCTGAACCCAGGATGAAGGGAGGGGTGGGGGGAAGGTGATTTTAAGATGTGGCAATGCTTCTCACTGTCCTACTCTGTTAATTGTTGTTGTTGTTAGTGTCTGAATTAAACATTCTTTTTTGTTCCCTGTACAAGCCTGTCTTTTGCTCATGGCTGTAAAAGGCGAGTCATCCCTCCCCGTCCTTATTTTGATTCCTAAGCCTTCTACTTCATTTTCTCCTTCCCAGCGCTGGCGTGGAAGGGGGGAATGAGCAGCTGCATGGTGCTCAGTTGCCCTCTGAGCTCAAAGCACAGCAAGTTACTGGCTCTGCCTATAACCAACAAATGGCTGAAAACATTTTTTTATTTTCTTAACAGTGGATACTGGAATCCAGTCAAACATTTAAGGAAAATCATTAAGATTTTATTTGATTATGGAAGAGTTGTAGAAAGTAATGGCCTAACCAAATCTGGAGAAAACAAAAGCTAATCAAGTAAGCAGGAAAATTTAACTGTTTCTAGAGAATTCTAGATATTAGCTTTTGCTACATCAGGTTGGAAGTTTTATTAATTTACTGTACTGGAACAATGAGCGCCTCTAGGGATAAACATTACATGTTCTATAGTAACAGATACTGCAACTTCAGCACACTTCCATTTGATATGCAATACAGGTGGTTTTGTTTAAAAAAATATTTGATTTTATTTAATAGATGGTATTTTGCCTTATTTGTTAGCTGAATCTAGATTTTTTTAATTCAGATCTTTATTATGACAATATCCGACTTCCATCTTTTTGTAATTTAAAGGATTTACCTAAGAAAATTTTAAAAGCACTGTTCTGGGCACAAAGCTGTAATCAACATAAAATAAAAGGATTACCTTTTGTATCAGTATAAAATTATCATATGCATCATAAAAATGATACTTCCTACTGCTCTCCTGTGGTTAACACCTACCTCTAACTTCTGGGTAACTCATGCATTTGTAATGTGTGCAGAACTTATAATAGCTTCCTGAACTCAGTAAGACAGGAGATTTGGTGCAATCCAACTGACAAAGTAAAAATTTCAGAGGGGCAAAAAATGCATTTTCAGGCAACTTCTCTCCATGTGTCTAAAAATGTGTTCCAAGATGTTTTGGTCCATAATTTTCCCCACAGATCACAGTGAGGCTGACTGGCCTCTACTTCCCCACATTGTATTTTTGGCTTTTTTTGAAGATGGGTACAGCACTTGCCTTTCCCTAGTCAACGGGGACTAGGTCATCTCTGTTACCTTTCAAGGATGACAGAGCACAATTGCAATCTCACCTGGTGGCCTTTGAATTTCTCAGACTTCAGGGTGATGAATGACTGCATTTATGACAACCACCATCAGAAAAACTACTGTGCACACAGCCAAATGTTTTGGCAACTTCTCCACATGTTGTCTTTCTGTTCAGTATTTTCCAAAATCTGAAATTTGTAAGTCATGCTAGTACATGCACAACTAGCATTATATTTCCAAAATTCAACTCTTACACAAGTGGAATTTGAAATTTAAGTATCTAGATAAAGTGATCACACTGGTGAAAATTAATACAGTCTGAGCTAGGCAAACATACAAAATAAAAGCAAAACAGGACAAGGTGGTTTATAAATCTCACTCAACAAAATTAAACTTTAACAGAAATTAAAACATCCTGAAACACTTTGAGAGAAGTATGAGTGTGTGTTCAAAACAGTAGAAGAGAAAACACTTACCTACTCAAGATAAACCATTTCATATTTGCAACCATTTGTTTCAGCTTAATTCTAAATAATTCTATTTAATACAAAAGGCAAATTTATCTTATATTCTGTGGCTATACTGCATGTCCAGTAATTTTAATACTATTGCCTTCTCTCTAGTAGAAATGTACAGAACATATGGAGAATGTAGCACTGTATCATGCTTTTAAAAAGTTCCTCTGACATTTAAGTGTAAAGCTTGAACCTAGAAAATCTCTTCACAGATCAGACAGAGTCT